CCTTACAGGATACTGAATTTAAATCCTGTGGAAGACTTCTTCTATCATATCCTCTCTTTCATTCCCCCAAATTCCCAAAGTGGCCACAGGTAACTGAAACTGCCAATTGACCTCTTTCTCCTGGGATTTTGTTTCTTGACAACAGCAGAAAACACAGTGCGTGTTTATTAATTCTAGGATGTCCCAGAATGGCCATAGAGATTTTCTGCAGCAACTTGAGACTGTTAGTTCCAGCCTGTTCTTCAGTATGTTCTCTGATTCTGTGGCATCACTACGTCCTATAAAATTCACTTGTTGCTCAATATAGCCACTGGTTTCTGTTGTAAAACAGAAAAATAATATGTGGTGTATTCATACATGCTATTTTCTACATGTATCTTCTTCTCTTGCAATGTCTTGCTTTTCATTTGTCAATTTTCAGTATCTTTTTGCATTGGTTATTCTTATTCTATCGTGGCATTTACCAAAATTTGTTCTGGGAAACTATATTTGTAATTTGGTGTTAGGAGATGTTACATTTAAAAAGAGGGGTGGGGGGATTATAGTTAAGTAAATATGAAAAACACAGGGATAAATGAAATTTGTTTCTTTTTCTACGCACTGTGAATTTCTAAGAAAGAATACAGGATGTGGCTTTTTCCGACTTATTTTTGTATGTATACAGATGAAGATTTATCCTGCCATTATCTAAAGAAACTAGTGGTCTGTTGAACATATTTTACGTAATGATGGTCCAGATGTTGCTATTTACTGTCTGTCTCCAATGAAGACTTCAAATTCCTTTGAGCTTATAATAGAGCAATGCTATTTCTTTTATTTATCTTTAAAATTGATCATTCTTATTTCGTATTCATCTTCTCTACCCTATCTGTTTGTAATTCTTTTGGTTGTTTGCATTTCTTATATAGACTTTGAAAATCTTGTGGCTTGACTTTTTTTTGCCCCCAGTGGTACTATGAGATATTGTAACTGAGCTAGGGTGTTTAAAGCTTCTGAATATGTCCTTGTAATCACAGTTTACAACAGATATTTAATCTTTCTATTGTTCTTTGATAGGTTTAGAGTTTCATTGGCATTCCTGAATATTGTTCAGTGTTTCTAATTGTAATTTTCCTGAAGCATGTAACACAAATCAGTGGTACTTCCTCTTCTGTTTTTGTAATATAAGTTTAAGAATTTTGAGCTTCTCTCAATGTGGGCCTATATACTTCCGATGGTGATTTCAAAGCTGTTCTCAAAATACTCCTGAGTCTCAGTGATGAAATCAGAATGTTAAATTATTGTAATTTATATCTTTTATGAGATAATTTAGGAAGATGGATTTACCTAGATTATCTTAGTAAATACCTTGATCTACATAAAACTGTATGGTACAAAACTTTATCATCAATCTGAAACCAACTTATTCATAATTTGGCCATGCTCATGCTCTTTTTATTAAATGGATGCTCAATTTTTCATTTTGATATGGAGACAAGTGCCTCAAGCACAGGCTTGGGGTAAAATGATTTTTCCTGATCACATTCCTGATAACCAATTCCCCTGAGGGCATCGGCCAATGAGAGGCAACTGTCAGTGATGAGGTAACTGGAAAAAAGCAGGAGGTGATATTGAAACAGTCGGGAACTAATCACTTTTAACCTGGCAATCACGCTTTAGAGGACAAATATTTATTGACTGATTATAGCTACATATTCAAAATATAGGAATACTGGAAACAATGCAACTGTCTAACATTTAGGGAATAGTTAAGCAAAAACTATGCTAAGAAGATGAATTCTTATGAGTTAAAATTAAAATGTATGCTATAGAAACAAAAAAAAATGTATAAGAAAGGAAATACCTTAAACAACTTTTTATCATAAAATTAAAATACAGAAAATCTAAGCTATAATAAAACCAATGTTTGCACAGGGATAAGGACAAAGCAAATATATTAATTAAGTAATTATTTTAATGGAGTTAATCTTTGTACACCTTTGTTTACTAAGGTTAGCTAAGTAGAGAATAAAAATATACCCTCCCAAGGTTTTAGGCAAATGATTTTATCTATAGGAAAACTGTAATATCTGTGGGTATTGTATTTATATAAGTATGTAAATACTTATATGTCTAGAAGCACACATATGGAAACAAATATATGTATATAAAGTTAAGACATTGTTATGAATGAAAAGTATCCTTATTAAACCTGATGCATTTTTAGAAGAAACACATGTATCTGTTTCTTTTTGTATGCTCTATTTTCCTATTTGAGCCCAGATAGAGAAAAATGCAGTCCTTATTTCCTCCAGATTGCCTCACCTCTACATAAATGATGAAAAAAGTTAAAACTGAGGCCACCCTAAGTATGCCATGTGAAAAACAGTGAGAATACCCAGGCATTGGATACTCAAAAGCAAGTATTCTAAAAACAGGAACTTGTTAAATAAAATAATATTAGTTAATTTTAGGTATGATATTTTTTAAAAACATTGATTCCCTGGCTTAAGGCTTAGAACACCCTAAACCAAACTGAACAAATGAAATTATTTGGAACTGGAAAAAGAGGCATAATATACCAGAGGGTCTCTTCACCCCGGCTTAGGTGATAAAGTCCATAATGAAGAACAGAATTTAACATGTAAACAGAAGAGGTATAGGGGAATACCGAAGCACCTATATAACTTTGAAAAGTTATATGGTAGAATAAGATCTAAAGAGAGAGAGAATGTTAAGATTGTGCAGACTGTTTCCTTATGGCTAGGAAAGTCTTAACCTGAGAGACAAGACAATATGAAAGCAGCTTTTATTATTAAACATTTATTGCTTTTATTAAATTTATTTGAAGGAGCATAGAAATAGATGAAACACTATCCGAGGTAAGATCCCCTCTTCCTCTAGCCGGATGCTGAGGCTAACAGAAATTTGATGGACATGCAATCGAAATACATGACTGTTTTTCCTCGATGTCAGCTTTTACCAGTGTCAACATAAAGGTGAGGTCCATTCCAACAACTCTTAGTAGACACTTAGGTCATTCATACAGTTGTCCAAAACCTTTCAAGAAAATAGCATCCATGCTCTTTATGAGCATGCTACAAAAATCCTTCCTTAATCTATAATAAAAGGCAGTTAAATGAAAAACTCCCGCTTTGCTCCGAGAAGGAGATAATGAATTAAGCCTTGCTCCAGGAAGAGCTCTGAAGCACTGTACAAAGGGGAACCTGCCTACAGGACTCCTCATTGAAAAGCTGAACGTCTCACTCACGCCTTTGTTTTCTTAAATACTGTAATTTTTATATCTTACTTGCCAAGCTTTCTTCATTTAAAAAAGTTTTTATTAAGTTAACATTATACTAACATCAAAATAATATTTAAAGAAAAAAATGCACCCACAAGCCTGGCACTACACTAAGAGGTTTATCTTTATTTTCCCCATAGGTACATATAATTTGTAGTTGTAATCACATCATATATAATATCATGGAGCCATTGCTGAATATTTCCTGACAACATGATCTGCCAAATTCCCCAGTATGCTCATTTAATTAGTACATATTCCATGAAATCCAGTGTTTGCTAGAGGCCCATGAAAATATGAAAATTCAGTGGATACCACCTAACTATATACCACAAAAGGCATATTTTACTCTAAAAATGTAATTTTAAGATACTGTCATTCACATTTACATGCTATTTTTCATTTTACCTCTTCTCCAGACAGATAGTAGGCTGAGAGCAGTCCACCAACAAAGCGTATATTTACTTCAAAAACAGAAACTTCAGCATTCTGTGGAAACAAATAAAGGAGGGTCATACACGCATGATCGTATAGAACTGAAAAATATCGGTGAGAAAAAGTGCACTACATCTTTACATTTTGTTCAAATCTTATATGTTGCCCAGAGAGATTTATATACAAGAGGGAAAAGTCCTGTCTCTTAACAGTGTGAAAATATACATAGATAAAATAATTTTGATTCTTAAAATCACAATTATAAGAATATTTACAAAATCAAGTTATTTCCTCTATTTCCTCTCTCTATTGAACAGCAGACACAATACTCAGTATTCTCTATTTGTGCAGATGCGATAGGGCCCGGGCATTCTATTTCTATTGTGTTCTCCTTTTATTCATTTGCTTTTTCTTCCTGAAAGGCTGGCCATTCAGGCTCATTATACTTTGGCTGGTCATTCAACATTATTCTAGCATTCTTCTCCTATCATGTTAAAGTAGCACAGCTAGAATGTAAATCAGATTTTAAGTTGCGCGACTTGGTTCTAGTGCTGGTTCCCAACGTTCTGCCTGCAGCCTGGGATGGTCACACCACACTGAGAAGAAATTTCATCTTTGCATAAATGAGATGATAATCATAATGTATGGTGTCCTTTGCTGAAATAGCTTTCATTTACGTCCTTAATAACTTGCTTTTATTATTATTTACAATGTGCCATATCCTGTGCTAATCTCTCTTAATCCTCACACTAACCCTGTGAAATAATTGCTATTCTTATGTCCACTTTACAAACTGAGAGACTGAGATTTATAGTGGTTAACGAGACTTCTTTAAGGTCAGACAACTAATAAGTGGTTGAACCAGGATTTGAATTTGAATACTCCCAATTCTTGGTCCAGGGCTCTGCTACCTTAACTCCAACGTCACCTCACATGATAATGCACCAAGTCTCTTTGTTAATGGTCATATAATTGTGACAATATTTAGTAACAATTGCCAATACTTTTATTTTACAATATCTGACTACTAAATGGAATTGTCCTGCATTCTGTTACTAGATAATTTAGCACAACTAACCTCCAATAGATGTAAGGTACGCTTCAAGCTTTAGTTAGCTTCTTTTCATGTTCATTGAGCCTACTCAGAAACTGTTCATGTCTGCCTAACATCAAACCATTTACAGGTAATCATGGGGGATAACATCAAAGTATAATATACGGATTTAATACCCAGCAGATAAACTTAGTCAAAATCATGAGATATTATTTCCTTTCACAAACATTTACTGACCCACTACTATGTGCCAGGCACTGTCCTATAATAAGTTCTAAGGATATGGCCAAGAAGACTGACAAGGTCCTCAAACTATGGAGTCTATGTGATAATGGAGAAAACAGTTCCAAGAAAAAACAAAGGAGACATGTTTTCATTTAATTCCCACATGCTCTCTCTAAATAGGTATAAGGATCTCAGAACTAAAGATAAGTAATTGCTTAAAAGTTTTTTTCAAAAAATTTCCTGCAAAAGGAATATTATGAAAACTACTTAGGAGTGAGAACTACTGGGTCAGAGTTAGAAAAAAGCATCATAAAATAAAGACCCTTCAGAGAGTTTGTTTAATTGTATTTCATAATTTGTAATATGCATCTAATATAATTTGATTAAAAGTACTCTATATAGGTGCAATTTATCTGTGAGGTGTACACTCTGAATGAGTTTATGTGGTAAAAGCTTTAGCATTCCACATTACTGACAAGTGAAGGGGAAGGGAATCCATTTATTTTGGATCACAGCTATTTTTCTTATGTCTAAGGGTAACAATGCCTAATAATAAAATCTAATGAGTTTAAATCTTCAAATCATATCACTCTCCATTTGTACTTGTGTTTCTCAATTTTTATACCTGAGAACAGTCCTCCATATTTCTGCCTATTGAAGCCTATTAAGATGATTTTATATTTTTACTTTGGCTATGGGTTCACTTGACATGTATTCTCTCTTTCTCCTATAAAAAATTTAGATAATCAAGTGTTTTCTGTAGACATCTGATAAGAATGACTGTGAGGTAGAGGACTGAGCCATGTCATACACCACCAGAAATATATTTCAGCCTGACATCAATCACCTATTGGGTACAGTTGTTCAACCAGTTATTGATCCAGCAATATATTCCAGAGCACAAATTCTATTTATTTTGCTCTATTTGTAAATATTGAGAGGTGACCTTGCAAAGTGCCATGCTCAAGGTCAGGTGCTTTGTCTTTTGAATTTCATGGATCTAATAGTCTATGAGCCTGTCCAAGAAGCATAATTGGGTGTTAGTGAATCCATGCAGCTTCCCAGTGATGGCTGTGTCCTTGTCTTTACAAATCTTGCTCAGGAATGTCACCTCACGATTAGTAGCACTCGATAGTCACCCTATCTTCCTCCTTTTGAAAACCCCCAGAATTACATTTGAATTCCCAACATATATTTTTCCCCCCTCTTTTTTCAAAGTTACATCTAAATTATTTAGAAACCTTAATTTGAGAGTTCTTTCAGCTTTCTGGGCTATCCTACATTTTAGGTCAGAAGACTGAAATTTAGTCACTTTAGGTCACTCTTTAGAGCTCCTTGGATGAAAAGGTCTAAGAACAAAATTCTCCCACTATAACAACCTGTTTGGCTACACCGGGGGCAGCAGACTATAAAAACACGGCTCCAGAGTCAGAAAGACCTGGGGTTGAAGGCTGGTTGGGGAGTTGGCTGAATGTGAGATCCCAGGCACGTCACGTATTCTTGGTTTTCTCATTTGTATAAAGGGATAGTGCATTCCTTACAAGACGCTATGAGCCCGTGAATACAAAGCCCTGTGCGCAATGCCCGGCACAGGTAGAGCAGTCAATAGAGAGCTGTTACTACTTTGCAGAAGCTCTGCCTCAGTTACCTCCAGGGATTCCTGGAAAATCAGAAACTCCACAATCAAAATAAGCTAAGTTCTCAAATGCAAACTGATACATCTCTGACCCTCAGGGGAGTCATATTTCTCAATGGCTAAAAACCCTCTTTTGAAATAGTGAATCCTGACCAAATTTTCATTTGTGGGTTTCATATACTTTATAAGAGAATTTCTACAATCTGTGGGCATTAGGCCATTTTTATAAACTTCCGATTCTGATTTCCATTAAAATAATCTTATTAGATTTAAATGGATATATTCCTCCTATTAATATTCATGCAGTGTCTTTGAAGATGTTCTAAAATGTTTCCAGTTACTTACCCTAATGACAAAAGAGGGGCTGGGGCAGGGGGAACCCAAACTGCCTGTAAACACTAAAGTCTCGTATGATGTATCTTAACGATTAATGTGAATTTTGCAGTCTCCTTCATCCTGAAATCTCTAAGTAAGGTTGCATTTCAGGAATATGCCCCATGTATTCTATGACTTTTAGTGCACAGTCGTATGTAAGTGCCAGTTTGAGAAGAAGATCCAGTCTTCTGTTGCAATTGCCCGCATCTATTAATAAACATCACAATTGATGAGAAGTGGAAGTTGGAAATTTTTGGCTAACGGGATAGTCACAAAAAAATATAGATTAGAGGGTAAAGGGTCAAACACAGTGATGGAAGAAGATTTGACTCTGGGTGGTGAACACAATGTAATATATTGATGATGTATTATAAAACTATACATTTTAAACCTATATAATTTTATTAATCAGTGTCGCCCCCCCAATAAATTTAATTTAAAAAATCAGGATTGGAGAAACTGCTCTTTCATTTTGACTTTCCGCTACCAGTAGCCTTTGAATCAAAGAACACACGTGAGCAGATTCATATATAAATTTAGTAAAATATATGGCATAACTAAGTTTACACCTCAAATCAAAAGGTGAGTCATAGAAATCATGGAAAAATTAGGCCTCAGTACTAATCTCTCATATCGTCTTGGGTATCTTTTACTGATAATATTCACCTTAAGTGTTTATCCTTTTCCCTAATATCTCTGTTCTCTGGTTTACTATACATATATGTAAAATTATTAGATAGAAGGGATAAAGTTGGCTAAAAGTGAGGAAAGAGTTCAACTCAATAAATCATTTTGTGTATCTACCCCAATCCTTAGCATTTTGCTCCACCTCTCAGCTGGGAAAGGCTTCCTTCAAATCAGCAGATCATGAGCTCGTGGGCATGAAGAACCTAACCCTGTCTGCGCAAAAGGGAAAGTGAATACTTCAAAAACAGTGCCTGAAAGACCAACCACCTCCCACTACCTAAGATAACTTTTCAAACAACTCAGAGAAATGCATGAGGTTGCATTTTTTATCAGCCAACTTATTGACCACAATTATCTACCAAATGATGTATTTTAATAGCTCTTAGTAAGTGAAATAATTGGTTTGACCATTAGAATAACAAATTTAGGCTTTGGAACAATTCAGCCAGTTTCCTTTTGATGGAGGAACTATTGGGGCTCAAGTGTCCACTGAAGAACAGATGTGCTGTTTCTTGTACCTTCAAGCCTTACGATCATTATTTAGAATCAAACTTGTACCAGACTTCTCCTCAGGAGTCATCTATGATTTCACAAAGCTTGACAGATCTGATTGATTACATTAAACTGAAAATGTCTGGAAAAGAACTTTTATTTTCAGAAATATGTTAATTCTATTTTGAGTGTTTCATACTAATTGTTAAAGGCTTGTTTAAAGGCAATTCTCTGAGGTAATTCTCTTTCTTTTATTTTATTTATTTAATTTTTTATTTATTAAATGTATTGGGGTGATGCTGTTGGTAACATTTCTAACATAATACCATCATCTATACACTGCACTGTGTGTTCACCACCCAGAGTCAGTTCTTCTTCCATCAGCATATATTCAACCTCCGTTTCCCTTTTCTACCACCCACCTCCTCCCTCACCCTCTGGTAACCGCTAAATTGTGTTGGCTGTGAGTTTTTGTTTCTTTGTCTTGTTCGTTTGCTGCTTTCAGTTTTACAAGCAAGCTGCCCCATGACAAAGCAATGCAATAACTATGTTTAATAACAATTGACCAGCTACAATCCAATATTA